CTCAAAACTCATTTTCTTGCTATTAACACCAATCACTCACCCCAAATCCTAAACCATAAATAAATTAACTTTCTAAATATTCATTTTTCATATTCGACAATCTGTATTTATTTTCATATTATGTTTTAACCTTCTAAAAAAAGTATTTTTATTAATGAAGGCTTGAGAGGTCAGGATAGTATGAAAAATCAATCAAATGAAAAATGAGAACTTATGTTAGATCTACTGGAGATAGAATATGGGTATTAGAAAGTTAGGTTATTTATGATTTGTGATTTGAGGTGTGTTTTTAGTGTTAGTGGGATGAAGTTTTAAGTATAAGAAGATGAAAATGAAAGGGAGGAGGAAGAAGAAAAAGTGCCAAAAACTAGATCGGAAATATGAAAAAGAATATGCTAAACAATAAAACATAGTATATGTGTCACAAGACGACAAAACTGAGTTAGAGTCTTTAAAAAAAAAAAAAAAACCTGCTTGAAATTTTTTTAAAAGTTAAAGGATTAAAATGAACTGAAAAAAAAGTTAAAGAATGAAAATGAATTTTACTTTAAAATTAAAAAATGAAAACAAAATTTATCAAAAATTAATATATATCTGATAAGTAAATGTATATTTGAATATGATATTGATTTAATAAATTAATTCTAGTTAAAATTAAGTTAGATTAATAATTAATATTTAAATTTTTATCTTAAAAATAAGTTTACAGTAAAATTTTATATAAAATGCTTAACTCAACTCATAAGTTATATAAAAGTTATTTTTAGAGTTACATTTGAGAAAGCAACTTAATAAAAAAATTAATTTATTATAAAAATCATTAAAAGAAATTTTTAAAAGTTGATTTTGATAAACTATTAAATTTATTAAAATAAATTTTAAAAAAATTATAAGAGTTATGAGTTATTCCTGTAAATTCTTATAAATGCTCACTTATTACAATTATATTCACATTTATCCATATTTAAAATATCGTATAAAATGTAAAAGTTTATTCAAACAAACTTGAAAATATCATAACTATGGAGGCAATAAACAAAATTTACAGTCTTGTAGTACTTTTTTAACCTACGGTGGTGCTTACTTTTTTTAATAATTATTTTCTCTTTCTCTTTTTCTCTTGTTTATTTTTATTTAAAAACTTAAAAATAGAAATGCTATCATAAATACTGCATATCAAGACGGATTACTAAATATACTAAATATCATTATTTCAACAGAAAAAAAAAATACCACTGAAAGACTGAAAATTTTCCCAGACAAAGTACAAGATCTAATGCAAAAACTAGATTTGGACTATGTGCATAAGTGTAAAAACTTCATAAACGTGATTAAATATAAAAGTTATAACTAATAAAATTAAAATAAATTTAGTTGTTTTTGAAATAAACTTCTTGTAAATTTTATTATAAAATAATTCTTTAAAGTTAGAATCAAAAGAATGTAAAGACATCCCAAGTATGATAATCCAGTTGATGTGGTACGCTAATTAATTAATTATTCAAGCAATTTAATTTAATCACTTGGCTTAGCTAAAGTTAGAACAGAGAGCATCAAAACGAGAAGGATGACAGGGAAGGTTTATGAAAGAGAAAGAGAAAGAGATGGGCTCTGGTTTTGGCAGTGACACTGATAAATGATAGGCATCACGAAAAGGTTCCATTGTCAATTGTTATCAAAGCCTTTAGCTTTGTAAAAATATTCCTGATTTAGACATTTAGTCTTTCTGTACATCCGTGACTGCCACAGATATGGATTCGAATTCAGTCCAGTTTTAGCAAAATTGTACATTTCAATCGAGCAAAATTTTACACTCTCATTTAAATACATTTTTTATTTAAACAACAATTTAAAATATACTGAGTACACCGATCAGTCACGAGACTGAATCCGCGTCCCACAGATAACGCCCTACTCATTTAATTTCATCTTAAACATTTCAGGTTGTTTTGTCAACTATTTTCTATATTTGTTAATTTTCAATTATTTTATTTAGGTGAGAGAATAAAAAATATGAATAATGATATTTTTATTTCATTAAAAAGGAAAAAATTTTAAAATACGATTAATTGTTAATTCAATATTGATGTCCTTTTCATTTATATAAATAATTAAGTCAAATATATAAAATATTTGTATCAGTTATTTAAATGTGAAAATCACTAAATATTGATAAATTATAAAATCTATTAAATTATTCTAAATTTATTAATTTTTTGTGTGTGATTTCTCTTTTCTTCAGATACATATTTTCATAGGAATAGAAGTATTATTTTTTAAATAAATGAAATCTCATTTATAATATCTGCATTAAAATTATTATTGTTAGTAGTATAAAATTTAATTTAGTTTTATATTAAGTTAAAAAAATTAATTGGCTTTAATTTTTATAATTTTATATCACTTTTTTTAATATAATGTATATAACATATTATTATTACTAAAAATTATATTTTATTGTATGTGTAATGAAACATAATAAAAAGTTAATAAATAATAATTTTAATTGAAAATGTATTTAATATAAAAATATATTAAAAATTATGTAATTTTTAATAAAAATATAATATATTTAAATTTTTATTCTGTGAATTTAATTATACGTTAAAAAATAATTTATAAAACATTACTTCTTTCATTTATTTTCTTTCATCGTTCTTTATTTTTATTTGCATTCTAAAATTTTTAATTGGTTTAGAAATTTAAACTTAACTTTTTAAGTTTAATTTTATTATTATCTTTTTAATTTAAATTATGTTTGATTCTAATCCTTCAACTCTTAGCAGATTAAGTGCCTCTATTTTAAAAATACGAGTCCTTTAAAAATATTATATTTTACCCTAAATAAAAAAACATAAAATTATCTCTCTTCATATTTTAAATTAAAATTTTATAAAATCTTTTAAATATTTTTTAAACTTAATAATTCTATTTTCAATTTTTTTTGCTATTTTCTATTTTCAAATTTGATTACAAACTGTCTAAAATTTTGAATAAAAAAATAAAAACTTGTGGGTTTATGTAAAAGAGAATTAATGAAGTTTAAATTTAAACAATTTTTAAAATAGATAGATTTAATTAACTAAAAAATAATAAAATATTCAAATCACATATATCTCAAATTATAGAAAACAGAAGTATGATTAAGCTTTTTTCTACTGTATCCTTGTTTTTTCTAATTACATCTGTACTTAATATCATAGATATTAACTGCAGTTGGTTGCCATATTTATATCTTTAATTACCAAATTTTTTTCTTGATGTATCAAATAGTGATTTTGTGAAAGTTAAAAAATAGTAAATAAAATAGGTAAAGTATAAATATAAATTTTTTGGTTTAAAATATAATAAATTATACATGGTTTAAATGCTTTCTCATTTTTCACACAAATTTAAACTAAAAATATAATTATGTTATTTATTTATCTAGATATAAAAGAAATTATATATTCAAAGAATCTAATAATTTTCAAAATTAATCAAATAATATAATATTTTATGTAAAAAAAATTTAGTAAAATAATAAAATGAATATTACTTTTTTTCTTTTTGACGATAATAAATATATTTTTAATATATAAATAAATAAAATTTAAAAATGGAAGATTTTTTATTTATAACTTCTTAACATATATTGGAAAATATACAATAAAAATTAATAAATAATATTTTTCTTAAAAGTTATAACTTTTAATATTATTAATATGTTAAATTTGATAATCTTATATAGCTTTCAATAAAAAATATTATCGATAAATTCTATTTTATATTATTTTTTATGATTTTATTTTATATTCTTAAACACAAAGTTGTTTTACTTGTTAATGAGCTGTCAAAATATAAGAACATTTTAATTTCCTCACTGGTTTTCTCTGTTTTTCATGTGCGCTTCCCAATGATGTCTGTGTTTGAAATCGAAGTATATCATTGGCCAGATTTCACTGAATACAGTTACACTTAAAACAAAAACTTTTGGTTTCTAACTATATATTTTCTCTAATTACTTCTCTATTTTTTTTCTAAATATTGTTAAATTTTTTTAGTTTTGTAAACATTGTTTAAAATATTATATACATTTTCAACATGAGTATAAATTATTCAATGCACTAATTATTAACTTATATTGATGAATACATATAAATATCTTAATTATTTTATCATATAACATACACAATTGTATTTATTAAAATGTTATTATAAAACACTTAAACTATATAACTATATTTTGCAAAAGTAACCCATAAGTCAAAACTTCCATTATACAGGGGCACAATTACTAATAGTACTAATGATAAAATTTTGCTAACTAGTATTCTTAGAATATTAGTTAAAAAATTTTAAGTGATAAATAATTATAAAAAATATATTAAAAATTATGACATAAAATACACTAATAATTTTTTTTGACATTTAAAATTGGCTTAAATAAATAGGTAATTATTAAAAGTATCACTATTTTTAATTTTTATTTTAGTATGTAATTTTTTTCTTAAAAAATATATGATCTAGTTTTTAAAAATAAAAAATAATAATATATTTAGAAATTAATTACTTATTTACTTTTAAAATTTTATTCAAAAACTATGAAAATAATAAATATTTTAATCTTTATGAAGAGCATCTCTTAATTTCTTATTATATTAATAAACATTATTTAAGAAAAACAAATTTTTAGAAAAGACAATTATATTATTCAATCAAATTTGCCTATAATTTTTAAAGAATAAATCTATAAAAAAATAAATATTTACGAATTTAATAAATATAAAAAAAATAAAAAATAAGATCATTAAAAAATATATATAAATTATAACCATTGTTAGTTTAAAATTGTTAATATTTGGTTAATAGTAGAGTTAGTAATGGGTTAAGATCTGAGAGTTATAAAAATGAAGATGACAGATGGCATGATTATTAGTTATTACAGTCTGGCTTTCCTTGTTATGTTGCTGCGGTTTTGGCTTTATACCTCTCTTCTCTTATGTACATACATACACACACTCACGCAGGCCACACTATCTCACACAAACATTGCCCCTCTCACTGCACAAATCTCTCTCTCTCTCTCTCTCTCTCCACCATGGCCGCCCTCGTCGAATCTGCTTGGAAGGTTCTCCCTCTCTTTCCCTTCCTTCCTTCCATTTCTCTCCAATTATTACCACCGTCACTTTTCAAACGCTCCCAAGTTTTCACGATTTCGTTAGCTTTTTCAAATTCCAGGGACAGATTTGTTTATTGCTATTCGATTTAAGCATTGATTGTTGTTTTATTTATTCATATAGTAGATGAGTGCGTGTACATTGTGCTTGATTGGATGCGAACTATGCACTGTCGTTTTGTCGTTCGTCTTTTTCTTGCGAATTGCTCGGTTGCCGTTTTATTTCGAATTTGAATTGTTCATAATCTGCTATAAGTTAGGGTCTTATAGATCAGCGTGGCTGTTGATTTTTTAAATTGGTATCTTTTTTTACCTTCTTTTTCTAAATTAGAGTTGGAACTCTGGTGACTGGTGTTTGATTTTAAGATGCATATATACATTTCAATTGTTGGAATAGAATTGATGTGACCTGTGGATTGCATGGTTACGTATTTGTATTGTTTAGCAAAAATAGAATTGGTGTTTGCTCTTTTTATGTTTTTTGAGAAATAAAATTCTTTTCCAATATTTTGTTTTTTGGTTACACATTTCTTAATTTTGGTGTTCTCTCTTTGTGCTGCAGTACTTGATCACACATTTCAGCGATTTTCAACTGGCTTGTTTGGGAAGTTTCTTTCTACATGAAAGCGTTTTCTTCTTATCTGGGCTTCCTTTTATATGGCTCGAGAGGGCTGGTTGGATGAGCAAGTACAAGATTCAGGTCTACCCTTGTTGAAATTTTTTGCTTTTTATGTTGGATGGTTCCCCCCCTTTTGTTATCCATGATAGAAATTTAATGCTTTAACATGTAAATAAACAGCTCCAACATTTTTAGCTTTGACGTGGTATCCGTATGCCTTGGCATACACCTTGTTTTTCATATAAATTGTTCACTTTACCCTGTTTCAGTGGTGCTAAGAACAATGCTATCAGGCCTTCACAAGTGAAGAAGTTCCTGAAGATTTTCCATTCTTTTTTTCCTTATCTGTATGTCTTAAGCACTGATTCCACACATTATATGAATGATGTACGCTATATTGATGCATGCTATATTTGAATGATGTATTGACCGTACCCCCCCAATGACAGCAGGGAGGATAAGTTGTTTTCCATTTTCATTTGTATATGTGTAGATATATACTCTAAAAAAGAAAACAAATGTTAAATTTTTGTCCGGTCTTGTTATGCATTTTTCTTGTTGATTTTACTGTATGGCACTTAATATGATACTCACCAGTTCTCTTTCTTTACCTGAAGCCTAGTTTGATCATTGTACAAGATTTGCTGTTCTTAATGCTTCCTTTCTTGCAGGCAAAAAATAATAGCCCGGCAGCTCAGGAGAAATGTATTGTTCGGCTGTTGCTTTATCATTTTGGTGTCAATCTACCAGTTATGTTTTTCTCATATCCTGTATTCAAATACATGGGCATGCGTAGTAGTCTCCCCCTACCGTCCTGGTACTTTCAGGTTCTTTTGAGTACTGTCATTATTCTAACTTAGGTGTCCAATGTTAGGATCTTTGCCATTAGATATGTCTGGAACACATTTCTATTAAGTTTACTGAGCAAGAATGGATTTTGGTTTTGCAGGAAAATAATTCTAATTCAAATAATCTTTTACTTCATTTTGGAGGACTTTATATTCTACTGGGGACATAGAATATTGCACACAAAGTGGTTATATAAGCATGTTCACAGTGTTCATCATGAGTAAGTTTATTTGTGTGTGTGGTGGTTTTGGCTATTGTTATATTGATTATCAACAAACCAGTATAGGATTTTTCTATATTTTGAAGGTATGCGACACCGTTTGGACTTACTTCTGAATATGCTCATCCGGCTGAGATACTTTTCCTTGGGTTTGCAACCATTTCCGGTCCTGCGATCACTGGGCCCCACCTGTTAACTCTCTGGTTATGGATGGTTCTGAGAGTCCTAGAGACAGTTGAGGCGCATTGCGGTTACCATTTTCCGTGGAGTCTTGCGAACTTTATGCCATTGTATGGGGGGTGAGTGCAAAGTACCTTTTCACTTGACACCAGTCATTTGTTTTTCATCTATGGTGCCTATTGTTAAACTTTGTCTCCTCACTTTCAGAGCTGATTTTCATGACTATCATCACCGATTACTGTACACCAAATCTGGAAACTATTCATCAACTTTCACATACATGGACCGGTAAGTGTTGAATATAGTATAAGGATTATGGTTATATTTTGTGATGATGAGAATCAAAGATGGCTTAACTTAACTGACATTTAGTGATGGCTTGATTCCTTGGAATTTTTTGTGGTTATACATGACACTTTGCTGTTTTATTAGGATATTTGGAACTGATATAGGCTACAGAAAGTTGAAAGCATTGAAAAACACAGGAGTTGAAGACAGCAGCGAGCCAAAGAAACAACTATAATAAATTTTTGGGAATATCCGGGAATGATTACAGAGTTGATTTGCAACTTAAGGACTTATTTGAAAAATGTCTGTCCTATCAACGCCTTATGTGTTCTAGTGTTTTTGTAGTGGCTGGTCACTAGTCTACAAAGTGCTGATGCCTTTTTTCTGGACATTCATACCCTGTTATTAAAAAACTTCATTAGTGACAGTGATTTCAATTTTGGGATGCCGCCCTTTGCTGATTATTCTTGATAATACGCTATTTTTTCTCTGTCACATGTCTTTTATTTGTTTTATTTAACCCGCTTGTTTTTTTTTCTTTTTTGTCCGACATAACCCTCTTGAATTGAATGGAGTCAAAACGGCAATCGAGATAAAAAAAGAGAACCGAGGGGATACACTGAACATCCGGGACGAATTGTTCTCACTTCCCACAGATTTCCCACTAAATGATTTCACGAATGTTTAAGTAAATAATTTATTAAATACTTATTGAATAATTTAGAGTTTATAACATAAATTTGGTCATAAATTTTATTAAAGTAAGTGTTAAAGAGTTTCTTTTAGTAAGTTATATTTAAAATTATTAAAAACAAATAAAAGTAAGCTATTTTTATGAGTTATCTTTTGAGTTGTTTCAAATGTTCTCTGTAAATATTGATTTAATTTGATCCAAAAATTGAAATAGGTGATACGCAATGCATAAAATATTTTCTCTCGCTTAAATAGTTGAGAAGGCTGAAAAGACTATTGGTGGCTGACTACTTCTTGCGCATCCTGTCTTTTGCCCGAGTAAACAAAAAATATATATAAAGAATAAAACGATCAAATCAAGTATAAAAATTTTTAAATTTAAGATTTGTGGCTCTCTTTTATATATATATATATATATAATTTTATTTTTGATATAAATGAACAATTTAATTTCTAGGAATTTTGTTAAGATCACACCCCTAACATGTGCTCCATTTACTCGTAACAAGTCTGCACCTTGACTTTAGAGGCTGTCTAATATAAATTAAAACACGGTGCTGGTTGAATTTAATTTTGATGTATTGTTAGTATAATTTTTTACACTCAATTAATTAGAAGATAATATAAATTTAATTTTTATAGTAATGACATAGAAGTCAGCGATCCTTGTTGCTTCCACTGTTGTGTGAAAATGTAAAATAAAATGTGTATCGATAAAACAGTTGAGTTGAATTGACTTTCAGTTTAATGTTTTTTTTTAGAATTTAGTTTTGAAACTTGTTAATTTAACAGAAATTTTAAAACAAATAATCAATTTTAAGCCCCATTCGACGTGGTTATTAGTTTTAAGCTTTTAAAATTTTTAAAAACTGAAACGAAGTTTTATAATTTTTAATTCTAAATTTATGTAACTTTTATTTTTAAATTTTAATATTAAATCTTAAATTTAAAAATACGCAAATCACTTCTTACTTTTAAAATGAGGTTTACTTTTGTAAAAAAAAAATTATATTTATTTAGTGATAAAATAACAATGAATAAAAGGATAAAAAAATAACTTTAAGTATAGTAATAAAAAAATAGTAATATTTATGATTATATATATATATATATATATATTTTGCTAAACATCAATATTTTATTAAAAATAAATTTACAATACAAAAAGCATTCTAACATGTTATAATTCGAAAAAGAAATAATAATACATATTAAAAAATTATTAATTAAATTTACATATATAACTGCAATAGTATTAACTATGTGTGACCAAAAGAACATTAAAAAAAATTGTATATCGTTAGTGCATGGCTAATACTCATGTTGAGTTGACAAAAAATTATATTAAATAGAGAATTAATTTTAAAAAAATATTATTTTAAAAATTAACTTTTAAATATGTATTAATTAAATAAATTTTAAAAAAATTAAAAAGTGTTAAAATAACTAAATTCACTTTTACTTTTATATTTAATCATAAATTATACGACTTGTTAGTATTTTTTTTTTCAAAAAATTCTAAGTAATTGACGTAGCTATCAATTATATGAATATGTTGAAATTATAAAAATATTATTTTATTTGTTAAATTTATAAAATAATAATTAATTTAATGATTAAAGTTACAAACCAATATTCATTTAATTCTTTAGTTTTACATAAAAAAATAATCTATATTTAAAAATTAAATATTTAATAATTTGTAAAACTAATTTAGTGCTTGTCATTTCAAACCACTTGTCAACCTTTTCTTTTTATTTCTTGTCAATGTCAGCTTTTTTATTAGTGCAACCATGCAACGTATCCACGTGTGTGAGTCGGAATTGAAGCAATCCAAAGTCACACGATTGGTCCTTATCATTAAAAAAATAAGAAAACGTACAATCTTTTTAAGATTTTTGAAAAAAAAAAAAGAGATACTATACTTCAAAAAATAATTAATCATTTAATTCTTTAAAATTATAAATATAAAATACTTTAGTATTCTTATCAGGCTAGTTAATATTTATAAGGACCTACTTACGTCATAAATTGTTTTATTAAAAGAAAATTTAATATAATATTTTTTAGAAATAAAAACTAAGAACATTTTAAGAAATAAGATATGATACAAAATAATATATTATAAAATTAAATTAAAATAGAATAATTTTTTTATCTTATTTTATTTTAATACATATAAAAATTAAATATATTATATTATTTTATGTTATGTTATTTATTTCTAATTCAACTATCTTACAAAATAAAATTTAATAAATTTATATTTAGAAAATAAATTTATTATACTTATTAATTAAATAAATATAAAAATTTTATTTTTCTCATTTTTTCCGTAAATCTTACTTGATGGTTAAAATTATTAGAATCAAAATATCTTTCGTATTTTTGTTTTTTATCGACTCAAAATATCTTCCATGAATTATTGAAACTTTACTCTACAGCAATCATGGGCTTACAATTGAGACAAGATTTTTTATTGAAAAGCCCAAGAACACGGAGGTAAAGGTTTATTACCTTGGAACAATTTCTAAAATTCTAATCGAATGTGACAATGGCAAAGCACCATGAAACGGAGAAGATTCTATGGAGAAAAGTGGAGGAGGACGGCGAGATCTCTATTTTCTATTACCAACACTCGTACACGAAAATTCGCCAACGCGCGCCTCAGCAAACGCGCCGTGGAACGGCTCCCGTGGCTGAAGTTCGGCGACGGCGTTCACGAGGATGTCGATAGCAGGCTCACCATGGTCCCCACTGAAGAGATTCTCCTCGAGCGTCACAAGTCTCTCTCGGTTTGTCATTTTCACCACATTTTTGTTTTATTTTTTTCTGTTTGGCGAATTATCTTATTCAATGCGAAAATTATTATTATGTTTTTAAATTGATTTTTTAATTCTCTTGGTAATTTATAATAATAACAGTGGAATGTCGTGATTCTGACACTATGGTAACTGGATCACTACGTAAGCCTATGTTTGCATTGAAAAGAATTTATTAAAAATCGTATTAAGTGACATTGGAGATTATGGTGGGATTACGATGATATTAATACCTTGTAGTATTAATTTTATAATTTTTTATTCTCTAAGTAGTGATTATATTTATAGAGTTTAGATTGTTTAAATAAGGCTGAAATAACCAACAACACAGCATCCAAGTGGCAAATAGGTTGGTTTTTGTTCTATTCAAGTCTTGTTGATGAAGAAAAATAGGTCTTGAAAAAGCTTTATCCATTCACATGAATGCACCGGACTCGAATTGGATTAGTTGGGGTTCCGGTTCCCTAAGCTTTATTATCCTTTTATAGCTAGCATTTTTCTTGCTTAGATAGGATGTATCAGTGTGATCGCATATGATATGCTAAGCCCTTGAATTTATACTTCTGGGCATGCAATGGCCAGTGTGTACAAGAGGATTTAATCTTTCTATTTATTTTTCCTAATGTTGATGTTTGACTGAATTTGCTCACATAGAGTAGTCCTATATAGTATGAAGAAAGTTAATATTGACGAAACAGTTGTTTGTATTTAATTGGTTAAGCTTTAAGAGAAGAGATACATGGGATTTTATGGAAGTCATGGGTGGGTGTTTTATCTGCAGTTTTTGTAAGGTTCGAAGTCGTACCATTTAGTTGTTTTCTGTTGATTATGTCAACCTGAGATGGTAGTATTATGAGTTTGTGGGTATGTTGGGTTACGTGTTACCTTGACCGCAATGTTAGTAGGTGCCTCCTCTAATGGAGAATTATCCTATCATTTATACAATGATAAAACTTTGCACTTGCTAGCAGGTGCAAAACCTGAGGAATCAAAGGTTGCTGGAGACCCATTGGCTCAATTTCCGAAAGGTGCTGTTCTTATGGTCTGCCAAACTTGTCGGAAGAAAGGTGACTGACTTCAAAATGTCCATACAAGGATAGCTCCACGAGCTGAGGGGTTTGTTGATAAGCCTCCGTCATCAGATGCTGCTGCTGCTCCTTATTCAAATAAGGGAGGGTATGTGCCTCCAGGGATCAGGGCTGACGCAGAGAGGACTGGATCAGATATGCGACCCAGGAATGAAGAGAATTCTGTGGGAGTTTCTAACCTCTCAGAGGACACGCCAGAGAGCCCGATTTGCTTGAACTGTTTCGCCTTTTTGGTTGCCGTGAGCAGAGTCCATGTTGCTATTGATAAAAACAAAACTGGAATAAGCAGAGGATTTGGCTTTGTTTACTTTGTTAACAGGGAAGATGCTCAAAGACCTATTAACAAACTCAATGGATATGGCTACAATAGTCTCATCCTTTGAATGGGCCACCCAAGGACAAATTAGATTTTGATTGAATTTGCCCCCTCTTGTGAAACGGTATCTTCGATAGTATCGTTCAATTATTGCAAGAGTATTTGTATATTCTGAATCTTTTGTTATTTTTATTTTATGAAGTAAAATGTATACATCCATTCAAGTTCTCTTGTAGCAGAGTTGTTCATGTGGTTTCATAAATATCAAAATTTCCTTGCTGGTAACTTCGTCAGTTTGTTTTATTGATAAAATTTGTCTCGATATTGGCATGGATTTCATGAAGTGATTTCCAGATGCGGCTCATGTATAAATCTTATTGAAGATTTTGAAAGCTGAAGACCATGAACTTGACAATTTAGATTTATTTCGCACTAATTAGGATTGGAATATCAAGCCATTTCCATCAAAATCTCTCAAACATTTCTGCTTTTTCAGCTTCATAGGCACGAAATTAAGGCTATCGTTGAAAGTTAGGTTTAAGATAGAAAGAAAGAGTTAGAAAAAGTTTAATCTAGTATTGAGAGTTGTTTAATTAGAAGAAAAAAAATTTAAAAGTTTTTTAAAATTCTTTAAAACCTTTCAAAAATTTATTTTTTAAGTTTTTTATTTTAAATTTTTTTTCTCTCACTCTTTTGTACTATTTTATAAATAAATTTTTATTTTTTTAATTTTTTAAGTAATATTTTTTTATAAAAAATAAAAATATTAAATTTAAAATTATTTATATAATTAAGTAATATTCTCTCACTCTTTTTCTTAAACCTCAGTCTGTAAACTCACATATAAAGTTAGTTATTCGTTTGTTTCCATCGCTATCATATAATATTATATATCTTTTATAACTAACAATTTATGTTCATCAATTTGATACTGTGACACTTTGACACTATGAGGAGAATGCAATTAAGGATACATGGCCGATGCAGGAACCTAATGCAATCCTGCCAAAATTTAGCAACAAATTGTTAGCAGTACATAATAAATTATAAACATGTCTAATTAGAAATTGCATGTAGATCAAACCAGCTAAAAAGTAGCACCTTTGAAATGATGTATCAATTAACATAAAATTGCTCCTATAAACCTCTCCTTCAAAGCAGGGATTTCTTTTGTAGGATCCCTGAGCAATTTATAGTAATATTGCCAAACTCAATTTTGAGTCATAATCTCTAACATAAAAATAAATCACAGCATGTCTACATAATAAGGAATTAATAAATAGTATTTTTATTAAAAAATATAGTACTTAATATTATCATAATATTATATCACATAAATTTATAATATAAAAGTTTTTATAATATTTGTTTTACATATATCTAAAAAATCTGATATAAAAAATTAAATACGTATTGTAGTATTTTAAAAAAAATTTATGAGTATTGTACCAAAAAATTTATACCAATAAAAAAAAATACACGTGATAAGTTAAAAAAAAGATTATTATATATAATTTATTTAAAATTATATTATTTATATTATTTACAACATAATCTTATTATATATATATATATATTATATTAAATTTTTTATTATTTTTTATAAATTTTTAGTTTTGAATAAAATATAATTTATATTTAAATAATTTCTATTTATTATAAATAAAAAGAATTAAAAATAATATATTAATTTAATAATTAAATATTAATAATAATAAAATTAAAAATATAAAAAATATATTAAAATAATAATAATATTTTATTTTTAAATTTTAATTTATCTAATTTTGACTTAAATACTTTTTAACTTATTTAAATATAATAATTTATTATTAAAATAAATTTATTATTTAAATATGTTTCTAAATATTATTGATTAAATTTTTTTATGTACAATATTTTAAATTTTTTTTATAAATACCACAGAATTTATTAAAAAATTTATTTATATATCTTTATCTAATAATTTAAACTTTTAAAGCAATTAGCTCATCATAACATTAACTTATAAGACTTTTTAAAATTTAAATTTAAATATTAATCTCATTTAAAGCGCTCTCATAAACTAAAAGTAAATTCAAACTATATTTTCGTCAATGTCATTAATAACACCGCGAACATAAAAAAAGACGTAAGCGAAACATTAATTGGAATGAAGACAAAAATATTAATTTTGCACATTTAATAATGACACAATTTTTGCACAACTATCATCAGCAATAAATTAATAAATTTTTATACGGCATAAATATTATTAAATTAAAATACATTTTATAAATTAAAAGATAAATACAAGATTTAGCAAAAAAAAAAAAAAGAGATAAATACAAGACATTATATTATATTAATTAAATTTAAATTTAAAATTTTAATTTTTTAAAATAAATAAAAAATTTAAAATATAAAGAATTATATTTTTAATTTAGTATGATAAATTAAAATTTTAAAATGTAATAAAAAATAATATTTAAAAAATATTCTTAAAAAATCCATGATGTAATAATTTTTCGAAAAAAATTGATTTAAAATTAAAGACTTGAATTTGACTAAAAGTTGAAAAGAAAAATTTTAATTAAATTTTGAATCTCTAAAAATATTATATTTTTATTAAATATCAAACTAAAATATAATAAAAGTTCTATAAAAATTAAAACAAAAATATAATAGTTTTAAATATTAATTACCTTTTAAAAAAATACCATTCAATTTTGGATTGCGTTTAATCCTTGACAATATCTTTAAGGAATGACGTGGGCGGTGTGGCATCCTTTAGTCTGCACTCATAGGTCTCCACTTTTGGTTCAATTAATAAACAGAGAAGACAGTACTCAAAACAAACTGAGAAGGACCCTCCCCAGAAGAGTACACCCTGTGGCATCTTTATGCTTTCTCCACAATTTCATCTCCATCATAATCATTTCTTAACCTTTTCTCAATCTCTTTCACCTTCCAATTCTTCTATCTACCATGCCTTCCGTCATTGAATCTGCTTGGCAGGTTCTCTCTCTTTCTTCTCCTTCAAAATCTCGACTTTCTAACTCTTCTGTAGTTTTTCAATGTGCACATTTTCGATAGAGCATCAAAGTTATCACATTTACACTGAATCTTAAAGTTTGACGCAGCCATATGACCTTGGTTACAATGAGTTGAAAGAATGGAAAATTGATTTATTGGCATTTTTATGATGCAGCACTGTCTGTATTATTTAATTTCATAAAAATAAAATAATTGAACTAATGTTTCCTTCCTTGTTGATGGTTGAGTCTTACATGTTTTGTTTTTCTCTTTGGTGTGATTTTAGTTTTTGATCACACATTTCAGTGACTTTCAACTGGCATGTTTGGGAAGCTTCTTTCTGCATGAAAGCGTTTTCTTCTTCTCTGGACTTCCTTTTGTATGGATGGAGAGAACTGGGTGGCTGAGCAAGTATAAGATTCAGGTTTTGCCTTATTCAACTTTATTCTTCTATTTTTCAATTTTTAATTTTTATTTATTTTTTCTCAAGCTAGTTTGCTTTGTCATTTGACATGGTAGGCATATTCCATAGGACGAGATCTTGTTCTTCATATCAATAATGTACTTCTTTTCTGTTTTCCAATGTCCAAAAATGAATTCTATTTTGACCTTTAGGAGTGAAAGTTAAAAAACAATTTTTTCTGTATTTTTGTCTCTATGTCTTGCATGCCAAGGATTTCAAAGAATTTTGATCCTCTCCTGTACATGATATGGTTTTGTTCGAGAGAGAAAGATACAATTTTAACTGGTGGATCATACAATCATTTATGGTTGGGTTTGTTTGATAAAATGGTGTTTTTCTCTCTTTGTCAGACTCATATATGTGATTCGACAACAGGAAAGGATTCAAATGAGATTTCAAGTAATGCCTGTTGGTGTTGATAGTCAATTTTCATTTGTCAACCCTTTGGCTGGTCATTCCCTTTTATGTCTTTTCTTCCTTTTCTCCGTGTCATGCATGGCAAGGATTCAAAGAATCCCTTGTACACAGTACAAGATTTGTCTATTCTGTGCTATAGTTGAAATTTGCTTGGCCTGAGAAGCACCCTAGTGCCTGCACCAAATAATAAATATCTAAATTTTAATTTTTAAATATCTACGTATCTACTTTTGAAAAATTTTAATTATTGCCTTGTTTTTATACTCCCTTTTCTTTGGTCCGCTGATTCAGTTGTGTAACAACTGGTATTTTGGCTCATTTCCTTCATTTGTTTTCATGCAGGGGAAAAATAATAGCCGTGAAGCTCAGGAGAAATGTATCACTCGCTTGATGCTGTATCATTTTGGGGTTAATCTACCAGTTGTGATCTTGTCATATCCCATGTTTAGATACATGGGCATGCGAAGTAGTCTTCCATTGCCATCCTGGTACTTTGAGTTATATTTTGATTGCAGTCATTATTTCTAGACATTTGAACTCATGAAAGATGTTATTTATGTGAACATTTATAATGTGTATTTCCGTTAAGCAAACAGGGCAAGATTTTACTTTTGGTTTTGCAGGAAAGTAATTTTAACCCAAATAATCTACTACTTCATTTTGGAGGATTTTGTATTCTACTGGGGACACAGGATATTGCACACAAAATGGCTGTACAAGCATGTGCACTATGTTCACCATGAGTAAGTATTATGTGTATTCCTGGGTTGATTTTCATTTATGCTTTTGACAGTTTAACTTAATGGACCAAGTTGTTTTGACATATTATGAAGGTATGCTACACCATTTGGACTTACTTCCGAATATGCTCATCCTGCTGAGATACTTTTCCTTGGATTTGCTACCATTATTGGTCCTGCTCTCACTGGGCCACACTTGATAACTCTCTGGTTATGGATGGTTTTGAGAGTCTTGGAGACAATTGAGGCGCACTGTGGTTACCATTTTCCTTGGAGTCCTTCAAACTTCTTTCCTTTGTATGGGGGGTGAGTGTCAGGTTCCTTCTCCTTCACATAACACCAGCCATTTGGTTTATTCCATTATAGTGCTTGTTGTTAAACTTTGTATTCTCACTAGCAGCGCCGATTTCCATGACTATCACCACCGTTTGTTGTACACCAAGTCTGGAAACTACTCATCAACCTTTACTTACATGGACTGGTATGCATTAAACATATTTTGGTAAAAGCATTATCCTTTTGGTTAAAATCTGAGATGGCCTAATTGAGATAATATTGATTTTCCTTGGAGGATGAACAGACTTTTCTTTTGATGTTCCACTGCTAATATTGACCAGTGATAATGGTGTATGATATGTTGTTTGTTGTATTAGGCTATTTGGAACTGATATAGGCTACAGAAAGCTGAAAGCATTGAAGAACACAGGAATTCAAGACTATAGCGAGCAAAAGAAACATTGATGTAAAAATAAAATTGGGAGTACCCAAAAAGATGAGAATGTTGATATCTAATTGAAGGGCATAATAAAAATGTATTGTCTCACTGAATTGTTTTTTTAGCTGTTCTGTATAGATAGCCCCGAAGGCTTTCTTTAGAAACATTTATGCCTTGTCTTTAAGACAAATATAATCAAGGTGTTTTCAGTGATTCATTTCTTATGTTAGACTTTAACTTTCTATTTATTGGCAATTGTTGTGATTTAAAGCAAGTGCCATAATTTTGTGGTGACATTGGTATCTAAAGGAATGGAGAGAAGATGCTACTGGGTTTGGTCTATTAACATTGATGTTTGAAAGTAGCACTTTGGGAATGAAGAAAAGTACTGAAATATTCGGCATATATGCTAGAGAATGGCAGTGATCTGCTCTAGATATGTGGAAGGAAACATCTTAAACTGCACAAGAAAACGTCCTGATTACAGTGCAAGTAAAGAAAAATTGAAACTAGACGCATATGCATTTAATGATAAATTTAATTGAAAAAGTATTGATTGTGTAAAAAAAGATAAATTTATACTAATATCCAATCATGGATCGTTACATCAGCATGAATCATTGATAGTGTAAATTTTTTTATATCAATAATACTTTAAAATTAAACTTTTAATTATTGTAAATTAAGGTTTATTTAATACAAATAATTAAATAGAAATTTAAACTACACGTTATACAACTTATAAGATATTTTATATATTAAATAATTCAAATCGTGTTAGTTTATATATAAAAAATAAAATATGATTAAAAAAATTAATTTGCAGTGCCTGTAAGAGTTATTTAAGAATGTAAGAGATAAAAGTTTTAAATGATAAGATGTTCATTTTTATTTTGTTAGAAAGAATATTAAACTAAATCAAAATATTAATTTCTACCATTTTTCTATTTAATTAAAATAATATATACATATTTTATTTTCACTTTATACCTATTTAAGTAGAGAGAATTAAACGCAAAAGTTAAGACTGAGTTAACACGATTCAATCTTGCTTATTGGACCAAACCTTATTAGAAGCTTAGCCTAGTTAAGAATTATGTCTTGAAAATTTCTTATATATTCTGAAAATAATACACTAATCACAGAGCATAAGAATTAATATTTAAATTGAAAATGCATCAGACTAGTTTTGGATTTTTTCAAAGAAATATACACCTTTGAATCACTCTCAGAATCTTCCAACCTGATGAGTGTAAAGATTAAACAGATGGCTCTTCAATTTCATTGGTGTAGGACTGTTTGCCATGTTAATAGCCCCATGAGTTACCAGAGAAAAGAAAAATGTCATGTTGGAGGCTCAGTCCAAAATGATAGAATGCAAAAAGATATGAATGGGCCAAAAGAAAACCCTTATTGTATAGTTATAGTATGTAAACTTTTCTTTTCTTTCTATTTTCGGCCCTATCTGACTAAACAACTCAGTTAGTAGCCCATTTGTTCACCTTGCTTACCATTTAGCCTACGCAGAAAATAAAGAATAAAAAATGATATCATTTAGACAAGAAAAAAGTCCATAAGAAAATGTTTATGGTTGTCATTTTGTTATGGCAGTGTATCTCAGACGAGTTATTAAATATTTGTAAATTATTGTTTTGATAAATACTTAAAAATTTATTAAGTATATTTATCAAGTGGAATGATCGATAGCTGAGTTCAAATACCAATGTTCTTTTTTTTTTTTTTCTTTTTTCAAAGAATGGGTATACATAATTGGTAATCAACTTAATTGCAGTACTGCTAGAAAAAGAAAATTCAGAAATAGAGTAATACAAGTAATTGTTTATGCTCTGAACTAAAAATCTACCCATAACAGCACGCGCTGATTGAAAAAGCCATTTATATAACATTAGTACATCGATATTAAAGACATTTCATATTTAAAGTGTTTCAGATGAAATTCATACAGTTTCATAGTGTTTCTGTTTTGCTACATAAAGTATCTCTTTTTATTTCTTTAAAAGCTGTTTATATTATATTTTTAAATAAAATTACCTAAATCAGAATTTTCTGATATAGGTTTGTGCATTTAATGGACTAATTCTAAATCATGTGACGGGTAGTGGAACCTGGGGGCTCTCTGGAACCATAGTGTTTATGATTTATGGTTGAAGTGGGAAACAGAGTGTTTATAATATATGGTTGAAAGGGCAAGGTGGTGCATGATGTGAGTAATTACCGAAAGCTCATTTCTTGGCGGATTTGTAGTATTATTCCTCAAATCAATTCCCAGGGAAAAGGAAGGTAAGGAAAAGACAAAAGTTTTGCCACCCGGTTTGACATAAAATTGACACTCAAACAAGAAATGTTTGAGTTAATGCATATAATTATCCCATTATGACCTTAGAGATGTTCCCAAAAATTGTGACAAACCCATTTTGGATTTGATTTAAGCAAAATGATGTGGGTGACAAGGTGACCACCACAGAAATCGTCGTGTCCATTTCTCACCTCTCTTCAAACTGTTTTTTTAGCATCACTTTATGCTTACCTGACCAATAATTCTAATATATATAGTTTTACTCTCTCGTGCCTATCTCTTTCTAATGTGCTAGGAAGCAAATAGACAGTTAAAATCATCATCACTAGGAAAAGTGAAAGAAAAGAAAAGCGATGAATCTTTGCCATTCGTGCATGAATTTGTCGAATAAAACATCAAAGGGGAAACACGACTTTATGCTAAAGTGCTTCGAGTTTTTGTCTTGTTGATGGTCAGAATTGTTGTTCTGATCCATTATAATTGTTGTAACAGTGCTTCCATTTGTAAATAATATATTATTATTGTACGTCAAAATCTTATTACAAAAAACATTTGAGACCATGCACCAACCATGTATATCACATCAATTGTGTGGTGGGTTAATGGAATCTATGATGTTTGCTTATGACACCAAACAATGGTTCTTTGCACATGGTCATAGAACTGTGCAGATTCGAAAAATCAAACACCCCCAAAACAATGCTTTTCTTAAAGATTGAGATTAGGATTTGTTTTTCCAACTTGTAAAATTGATTCAATGCCATAAATGGGAAATTAGCTAGGAAGATTTGCATATGCTTACTCAATCTTAACTGTCATCAATGAAAAGAATTTTAAAGTTCCTCTCTTTTAGACTTTGTTTAAATTAATAGGAGCGTAATATAATTCTCATAATATTTGCTTTCTGTAATTTTTCGTGACTTGGATTCCTCGCATTTAATTTTCTCTTATTATCTTCTCTAATATTCTAATTTATTTAGGTCATTGATGACAAAACATGACAAGCCTCTGAACATATAATACTCTAAAACTACGTACGAGTTATTGACCTAAGCATATTGCTTAGGGCAGTAGGCATCTAAAAGCTAAATCACTAGCCAACTGCAATAATCCTGGGGAGAAGTCTTTTCTCTGCATGCAAATTTGCAAATTGCAAATTGCATGGTAAACTCAACTGTCCCATCCACTTTCTTTAAGTCTCTGGATTTATATAATATCTCTCCACTCATTCAATCTTGAAATTTCACAAGACAAGGTACCACCAATAATTGTCACATATATACCATCATATTTTACTAAGGCGAAGCTAGCAGTAGAGTTAAACTTAAACATGGCATTGGTAAATAAACTAAGTAGATGCTTTTTAACTGATTCCTAATTGTGCATGTGAAAAGAAGAGGTTGTGTGTATATTTTAATTATATATATATATATATATATGTTTTATAATATTATGTATTTTATCTATTTTATTTATATAATTTTAAACTCACTCAATTTCAACTTAATTATATTTGAGTTTAAAAATTATTTCTATTAAATTATTTCCACTGACATGGGGGCTTGGCTCACTTGGTCACTTTATATTTTGTTTTGCTTTTACAAAATTAATATTTGCCCATTGATAAGTGATATCTAATCCTGCCATAAATTTTCACTAAGGTTAGAAGTTTAGTTTGCTAACCATGCAACTTTACTCTAATTTTAGACGTTTGGTAAGAAAATGTAAGAAAGCAATGACGTGGTATTGATAGTGGATATAATAATGGTGATAATATGATAGTAATTAATATTTATAATGATGATGACCGGCTATCAGAACATATGAGATTTACAGCAGTGTAGAATAATTATGGAAAGAGTAACACTAATAAATATGATAATGATAATAAGAATGGTGATGATAAAATAAAAGAGTAATAGTCACAATTATGATAACAAAAATAGTTGTGGTAACCGGACATTTATGGTAGAGGTTAAGAATAATAAAGAAAAGATTATGAATTATAACTTTATAGATTGAAAATTAGAAAATGTTAGTTTTAATTATATTTAAATTATATAAAAGTGGACCTTAAAATTGCAATTTCAATTTTAAAAGACTTCTAAACATTACAATTGCACCTCTTACGTTCGATTCTAAAATAGGAAAATGAGTGAAACTAATCAAATGGTTCACTTTCAAAATACGTCCTTACTACACCATTGTTGGACTTATCAATATGAATTTATATGTTGAGCACCGTATGCATTTAATTCCAATGAAAACCTCATTTAGGATTAAAAGAAATAAAATGGATAATCATTTTAATCGTTTAGGTGTCCTAGTGATGAATTTGTTTTGGTTATTGGTGCCTTTCAATGGTTAACCACTAACCATAATCATTCCATACTTTGAAACAAAAGGGTCAATTCAAGATGGAACCTGTTGATAGCTTTGAAGAACTTTTTCATTATTACAAGGTTCGTTTTATAAAATTTCTTGAGCTGATAACCAAAGGTTGCTGATAACCTAAGGTTTGACCCCTTTATGATAGTGAATGGTTTGGTGTTAGCTATTGTTCATGTTGAATTCAGAAAATTAAACATCAATCTACAAATTCATCCATATATATTCTAAGATTATTCTGCCACATATTCCAAATATAAACCCTAAAAAATAGGTCACCTTTGAAGCGTAGATCTATATTGTTGATTCTCTTTTATTTGGTTTTCTATTATGATGTGGTCGGATGAAATAGAAAATAAATAAATTATAAGAAAAAATAATTATGAAATAAAATAAAATTACTTTTACTTATTTATATGAATGAAAAAATAATTTCCATTAAAAATATTTTTATAATGATAATTATTATTTTATTTTAATAAAAAATTAATATACTATTTTTAAT